AAACAAAACAAAAACAACGAAAATGTGCCCTAAAATCAGCCTGAAATCGTGTAACATTGCAGAAATCGGTGGATATGAATAGAGTTTGGCTCATAAAAAAATTGGACATTTCTTCAAATGTAATGAATTTCAAAACTGCGGAAATATCCACATGGCTTTGCATACACGGAAAAAAGGACAGGCAAGTTGATCTCATTTAATGTGATCCAGCAGATGTTCATGGAAAAAACGTTGTATAATTTGGTCATGAAGTATCAGTTTTATGAATGAAATTATTAATAATTGGAGGAACTTTTTATTAATTATAAAAATTGGGAGACTAAAGGTAAATTTTAATGCTGAAATTTATTATGTTGCTATATCCGGTATTTTCTAATGTGGAATAAGCATTTTCTATTGATATATATATATATTTAGCTATTTAATTATAAGATCATATACAGAATGAGTAAATTTATTTAAAAAAAAATGGTATAGAAATTGCTGCTTCACATTTATTGTTTTTATGACTTTCTTCAGAATCAACAATAGCGTGAGAATTAAATTCAAAGTTTCATCCTGACAAGGAAACATTTAAATTCATATAATATGTTAGCTTTATAGTGATCAAAGAATTTGATCTTATAAATCTTGGTTATGTAATTTCATCAAGAGAAAAAAATGGTAAAGGCTTTGAAGATTCTCTTTCATTGAAAGGATCGGACAAGGTAATGATCTGATATTGTATTTTACATAATGTTAAGAACAAAATGTTGCATTTGACTTAAATTCGACTATGGGTGAAAAGATACACAAAAAAAAAAACAAATAGAAAGAAGCAATGTAACATAAAATAGGATTTACCATATAATATATTACAAGAGGAAAGCTTATCATTGAAATTTAGCAACGAATATCAAGTTGTTTGATGAACTATAGCAACCCTTTAACTATGAATCAAAAAATTTATCATTTTCTTGAGCCAAGTTACTTTCTCCCTCTGTTTTCTTGTGCCAACTATTGAACATTTTGTCGTATTCAATTTGGAGTTGATTATATTTGAGTTCTGTTCTTCTCAAGAGCTGTTTAAAGGAAAAGTTAGATGATTTTCGTAAATAGCTACTGATTGACTATATCATCATTGAAAAACTTGCCTCCCATTGATAATTGTCAAGGTAGTAATCTTGCAACATTGTTTCCAACATTTGGACACGATCCTCCAATGTCGCACCGTTATGCCGGTTCAATACTTTTTGTGATAAGATGATTCCTGAAGATGAGACATATCGTTTTGCTAGTTTTGTTTTTAAGCTTTTGTACAAAATGAGATTAGACAAGTCAATATTTCATTTAATTAATGGTTGATATTAATGATTTAGAATTACCTGCGTCTGCAAATTCTGCATCTTAGCACATATTTTTGAACAATACCCCTGTTAATGTATAAACGTTAGCTGGAACAATTCGTTAATGCATCATTTAGACAATTCACACATACCATGGAGATAATTTTGGCATTCCAAATAATAAAACATAAATTGAATTCAAAGCAACATAGAAACCACCAAGGTTGGCTATTGCACCTCCAACTTTGGTATTTTTTTTTAGAACATTTTTGGTGCAATACACAGACAGACAAAGGTATTAAAATTTTTAAAAAACTTACGTGTACGTTCATAACTTTCTGTCTCGTAAGTAAAATAATTAGATACTCTTACGCCAAATTGGATATTTCCTTCGTTGTTGGATTTTGGAAGGCTTTTAATGACGTGTTTTAAATAACAAGTGTCATCATATGATCTTAGACCCCAAGTGTAGCCCCAATAACTTGATTGATAGTTTCTTTTAATCGTTGGAATAATATCAATAATAGAACTATCTTTGAGTTCAAAGATAAAAATCGAGTCAGAACTAGCTTTATTATTGCAAGCAATGCCTAACTTATTCTCAGACGAAAAACGAGAATAAAAAATCGTCGCATTGCCAAAGATGACATATAACTGTTGATCTAAAATGTAGTGAATAGGGTTGTTTGGACTAAATTTCGTTGTTAAGGATAACAAACAAAAGTAACTTTCAAGAGAAATGTTGGTTGAAGATGATGTGGGATTTAAATTAATATCAAAAATTGGGATATCTTCCGGTATACGAGAATCAAAAGTAAGGTCATACGCTTTACAACCTTGAGGTACTATTTTACTGATATTTTTACATCTAGGTTTCGGACCACCATCATTACAGTCAATCTTCAATTGCTTGTTAGATGTGCAGAGGTAGGTTTCTATTGCTTTATTAATATTGATTTATTAAGCAAATATTGAAGTATCAAATTTTTGTGCTATATATTAGAAGTCTGGCATTCATACCTGTGATGGATTCATTGTTAGAGGGAGTTTTAGATACTTTAATACTGGTTTCTCCACTATATAATAATAGATCATTGATCAGCATGCCCGCGTAAAATAAAATTGAAACTGTCAGCCCAGTTGCAATACAAATACGGATATTTTTAAACCAGAAAGGCTCGGTAGTCTTGCCGTTAAAAATTGCATCGTAGAGAAACATTTTTGATGTACTAACTAATATTAATCTAGTAATTTTATTCACTTGGAAACTGCACTGCTTTTGATAATCTCTTTAGCCTATATAGTAAATGAATTGCTTAGGAGGAGTTATATGGAGTATACTTTTATAATAAATATATAATTTAAATGTCAAATATATTTTTGTTTATTAAAAATCTTAACAATGTTATATTGTTTTAAAAAAATTTTCTTGTTTGACTAATTAGAAAAAAATTTGTTCATTATTCGATGTAGAATATTCCTTTTTTTGAAGAACAGAAATTAGCGCAGGTTTTTTTTTGCTTCTCAATAATTAATGTAAATAAAAATACGAGTTTGATCTAGTAATTTATGATACAAATGCATGCAGATATTTCCAATAAAGGGAAACAAAAAGGTTTTCATCCTATCAAATTTTGCGCATTTTTTTATAACAGAAGTTTACGAATAAGTCTGTTAAAGCTTATTTGCATTTCATGCTTCATTTTGGTTTTTCTTCAAAATCGTCTTTTGCATGGCGTTTGCTCACGTTGACTTTTTTAATTTAGCTTATTGGAGAATTAAGCTTTTTAATATATCTAATACATTTGTGTTTTAGTCAGTCAGATCCAGATGAGTGGATTTCTGTCTTTATTTTGGTATCGATGGTGGGATTAATTGTCGTAGGTTATTTATTATTCTCTTAATATAACAATTAACAACTTTTCCAAACAAATAAATACAAATATTTTCTTTTAAAGCTTTTATCAAAAACTATATTACACGCCCTTGCCTTCTGGCTCTCAAACTTTATGCCTGTCATATTATCAGTTATGATCTATGTTGACAATACAGAAAATTCGTCATTTATTACTACAGGGAAAAAAATACGTCTTGTTTCAATTATAGTGTTTTCTATCCTTCAAGTTCTTTATGGTCTTTGTATTAGCATATTGTGGCAAAAAGGGTAAATGAAACCAATTATATGAAGTATTTATTGTTTTGTTTTATTGATATATATAAAAGCTAAATCATTTCAAATAGGTATTGGAGATTTCAAAGAAGATCAGAATACGGCTTTGATATTAATACAGAAGCAAGAAGTAAATGCATCAGAAATTTTATATTAAAAATGGATTTTTTCATAAAATACTTATTTATTCATCGTGTAGGCTTATTCTCTATGTACCAACGTGAATTGACTCTGTACCAACTTACGATTGTCTATATGCTTGCCAATATATTTTTATTCGTCATTGATGCTCGGTCGTTCTTTCTTAATACACTTTTTCTTCTGATTGCTTGCTTTCTTATTATCGGGGTATGAGCCATGCAAGAAATTCATTTGAATAATAAATCGCCTTAATTATTAACTCGGATTTCTTCCCCCCGAAAAGATTCAACAAGAATCTCAGTCTATTGTGTGCATCACACAATTGGCTATAGCTTGCTCAATTGGCTATCATTTAACCTTTTTGATTTACAAGTTTAAATTTCTTCATGACGACTATTACTATTACTATTACAATATTGTTTATTATTATCTTTCAGGCATGTTTTCCGGCACATAAAGACTGTGAATAAAATAATTTTCTTTCTGCCAAAGAGATTTACCGATCTCGTTTTTTTTCCACTTTAGCTTCCATCTGTGTGATTTTATGCACTTTATTGTTCCTACACACAATTAAATGTCAATGCAACTTTGGAAAAGGCTTGAAATTACTGCGTATGTTTTAAGGTTGTTCTTTACTTCATATTTCTTATTGTGTGATTATTCATTTTATCATTTCTTCATTTTAGTAAGTTATGAACCCAAGCCAAAAGAATATATTTATGATAATGACGAAGAGTTACTGGGCAAGGATGATGAGGAACTGTCAAAAAATTCCTGGGACAAGGAGGTCTTTTCACGAATATTGGACAAATTTTGTGGTGCATGCTTAGCATTCTGGAAAGCATTAGACTGAAATATGATGTGATTTATTAAATTGCAATATTTATTTAGATATCGTATTAGCAGCGTTTATTTAAAAATTCTCTTTTATCCATTATTTTAAAAATAAATTTTTTATGTATAGTGCATTAGTATATTAGTATTATTTTTATTATATTAACACCGTCGAAGGTTTTTTAAAATTTTCATTAGCTTTGTACAAATAAATTATTAAAAATTTTTTTCTTTTACAAATTAAAACTATAATATAAAATACAATTAACTATTACAATTATTATTAATATATAGTCTTCTTTCACTATTACAACAAAACAACATTTCATAAAATTGGTAAAATCAAAACGCGTTCGAATTGTTTTATATACGCATGAATTGTGTTGACTTAATATTTTTTCATTTTTGACTTTAAAGTTAATTACGCGTGTAATAGTAAATGCACAATAATATTAATAAAACACGCCTGAGCTGTCTTTAGTGTCTGGGTTTGAAACGCATATTTACAACTTTCTCATAATATATTATTAGTCGGTTTAGGTACAGGCTTTTGTGTAAGTTTTTTTTAGAGAACGAAGAAAAAAAAATAAACAAATTGCACTACACTATTACTTTTCACTTGAATTTTAAGATAATATATTTTTAATAAAGCAATACCTGCTCATATAATTTTATTAGAATAAAGTGAATACAATAATTCACAAAATAACTCCCAAATCATCTTATACGAGGTTATTCCTCTTGAAAATAATCAAAAAAAAAATATATATATTTAAATTTAACATTTCAGAAAAATAGATATGCCAAACAAAGTTTATGAAGTCTATCCAGTCTCAATTCAACTGCACCATAGATATTGTTGACTGATCCGGACGTTACCTAGGTAATAGGAAGTCAGATCTGGGATTAATGAAGTTATTTATTAACTAAGTGACAATTATTAGAATTAGAATTTGAAAGAGGTCTTGAAAACATTTATGCTATCTGATTAATTAATTAGCTGCTTTATTTTTAGGTTGATATTATTTTGTTTTAACCATAAGTTAAAAAGGCACATTGTGGAAGCCACACATTTTTATAATATAAGGTTATTAAATTGTAGGTATATTTATTTGTTTGAATGAAAATACCAATTTAGGAATATTATTCAAATAAAGTTACACAAATTAAAAATGTTTTCAAAAACTTTACCACTTGAAGTTTCAGCTGAAATTTTCAAATATATTGAAGATGATTATAAAGCATTATACTCTTGTATTCTTGTTAATAAACAATGGCATTATTTAAATATTCCAACTTTATGGAAAAATCCATTCTATTCTGAAAAAAGTACCAAAATTTTTATTAACTGTTTATTAATAGAAGACAAAGATTTTTTAACAAGAAATGGCTTTAAATTAAAGTATAAACTCTTGGATAAACCACCATTATACAATTATGCCAGATTTGTTACCAAATTGGATTTAAATAGGCTTCAAATAGGTTTATGTAAGTTGGTTGATCCTTTTTTTGATGATACATATAGAATTATGGAAGAAAGATTGGCAGACTTTATTTTAGATTATGCAACAGCTATCAGAGAACTTATTACTGCTTCTTCAAAACATGAGCAGTTGATTAATCATCGTAGATTCAATGATTGTTTTCGGAATCTTTATGAATTAGATTGTGTTTTTAGCAATGGCTCCAGTTTTTTTAATAAATTATTAATTACTTGTAAGAATATTCAATCATTTAAATTATACACTGACAATGATGATGGCGATGATGATGCAAATATTTTTAAAATAGCTCAACTAATTGAATCACAAAGTCAAGTTAAACATTTAACTATTGGTTCAGATGGTCATCTACCAAATATGATAAAAAAAGCAATAACAACACATTCACAATCAATTATAAGTTATACTAATGTTGATGTAGATAGTTTAAATTCTCCAATAATACCAACATTTCAAAATTTGAAATTATTATCATTAAATAATAATTATGAAATTATAAAATGTTTAAAATCATTTCCAAATCTTGAAGCTTTATGTTTAACAATTAGCCATCAATCATTTCTATTAGAGTTGGCAGAATTTATTAAAATCAATGGGAAAAATCTTAAAATATTATATATTGATGGATTTCCAGAGGATAAGGAACATTTAGGAGAATTTCTTCATACAATTGCACAATATTGTTTGAATCTTGAAAAATTAGCAATAATTTATAATAATGAATTAGATCAACATTTATTTGAAATATTTAATAATTGCATCAAATTAAAAGAAATTTCATTTAAAAAAATTCCACTTGATAATTATTGCAAATCATTAGATGTGGATATAATTTTGAGAGTATTAAATCAAACATTACCAAAGAAATTAAAGAAATTATGTTTTTTGTGTGAAATTGCTATTTATGATGATAGTTCATTAAATATTTTAATGAAGAATTGGAAAGGACTTAAACCTTTTATAATAGAATCACATGAAAATTATAATTTTTTGGAAAAGAAGCAACTAGAAGATATATTAAGAAAACATCAAGATTTAGGATATTTAAATCATGAATATACAGTTACGAAGTATTACTATCAATTATTGTAATTATTTATCATATGTTTATACTATTTTTTTTTTTTACTCCTAATGAAATTTCTTTACATTGAGGGTGTTTTTTTTCTTTGGATCATTAATAAATTACTGATTTATATATAGCGCTCACACATTTACTTAAAATGTTAATTATGTTTAATAAAATAATTCCAAATTTTTTTTAAAAAACAACATACTCTCAAAAATGTCAACTAGTTTTTCATGTTTAGAAATATTAAGGCATTATTTAATAAACCTTATCAATTCTAACGGAAATACATTACCATCAACAAAACTTGTAGATGATTTATGAGAATTGTTAAATGGATAAGATTTTTGTGATGTAGAGACAATGAAAATTTTTTAAACCTCATGCATCTATTTTAAAAGCAAAATTTTTATATTTTAAGGCAGCTTTATCAAATAAATTGGCTAGAAAATTTGAAATTCTTTAATGTAAGAATTATTTATTTATTTTGTTTTTTAATAATATTAAATAATTACTGCTTAATTGTTTAAAAAGATACATTTGCAACAGAATCGTTAACATTGATAATTTAAAATCTTTGAAGTATAGATGTGATGCCATTTTTGAATAGCCATAGCTTTACATAAAGAGTTCCTTTTGATATAAAAAAATATTCATTAGAAAGTTTTAATGGTGTAGTTTTAATTTGCTTTAATAACGAAGCTTGTAGACTGTTTGTTATACATGTCAATTTTTTATTTTTATATATGGGCCGCACTAAGAAAACTACCTCTCTTAGTAGTTGAACAAAATTAATTAAATTAAAATAGGTTGATTTATATATTTTTTCGTGTTCATTCTTATAAAAAATATTGAGAAGCCCAAGCTATTGTCAAAGCTACTTGTTTTCAAAGATATTTTAGACTGGAAACCTTAGTCCTGCAGGCACTAAATGCTGTAAATAAATCAACCTGTAACATGTGTTCAAAAAGCCCCACAAGTAAATATTATTTTAGATTTTTGAATGTATAATTTTGTTACAAGCAGTTCATTTTAATCTTTTTCTTATAATATGAAAAATAATCGTGTATATTCACCTTTTTAACATTTTTTCTATGATACATGTATGAGTATTTAACAATAAATAGGGCGTTGATATTATCATTGCTTATTGACTAATCACGCATAAGAATCTTTAGTCTACTATTATCCCATATTATTATTAAATCATATTTACTTTGGATATATTAATATGGTGAAAAACGGACCCGGACACTTTACCGACAACACGCGACGTGATATTTTAGCATTTTGTTAGTTTGTTTGATTGTGTAGAGATTAAATGTAACCCCGCGTGTTGTCGGTAAAATGTCTTGTCGGTAAAGTGGGTGTCGGTAAAGTGTCCCAGACCCATTTTTTGACTTGTCTATCTTTGCATGCTTTTTGAATGCACCAGATTTATTTTTTTGATTAAAAAAAATTTATCTATAGTAAAATTCAATTGCTCACTCCACCCTTAAATAATTTTGCTAAATAATATATAAACCAAAATATTTTGCTTTTATACATAATAGAGCATTTGCTATTAATCAATTAACTAGTTTTATAAAAAAAAGAGGTCGCAATCAAGTTAACTAACCTGGTGAGAGTTATTCCACGACTATTAATCAGGAAACATTAGAAACCCCCTTTTTTTTTTGAAACTTAGACTACAGATTGATATAATGAATATTATTTTAGAATAAATAATTGATTTGTAAAATTCTATCCACAAAATAGATAATATAAATGAAGAAATATGGATTCTAGATCAGCACAAAAGAATTTTAAATCATGTACAAACCTATTTTCTATATTAATATTACAAATGTATATGCATAAATAACTTTATAATGTAGTGGTACAGTTGGTACAGTCTTGGATTCCATAATTCTATATGTATCATTAAACAAAGGATCAACCAACTTACATAAACCTATTTGAAGCCTATTTAAATCCAATTTGGTAACAAATCTGGCATAATTGTATAATGGTGGTTTATCCAAGAGTTTATACTTTAATTTAAAGCCATTTCTTGTTAAAAAATCTTTGTCTTCTATTAATAAACAGTTAATAAAAATTTTGGTACTTTTTTCAGAATAGAATGGATTTTTCCATAAAGTTGGAATATTTAAATAATGCCATTGTTTATTAACAAGAATACAAGAGTATAATGCTTTATAATCATCTTCAATATATTTGAAAATTTCAGCTGAAACTTCAAGTGGTAAAGTTTTTGAAACCATTTTTAATTCGTGTAACTTTGTTTGATTATTATTTTAATAATATTCCTAATTGGTTTTTTCATTTCTTCAAATAAATAAATATACCTACTAACAACTTAATATTAATATATAATCGTATTTTTTCGCAAAAATCATCCACAAAAATATCCGCAAATTCATCACCCGTAATATTATTCGGAGAGCG